CTCCATTAGTTTCCCACAGAAGTCAATTTTTCCAGGTCGCTTCACTTTACTGCAGGTCAGTGCCAATATTTGTGTGAGATAAATTGGTCCTAAGGGACTGAAATGTAACTCTGTGCAGGTCCATCAAATGAAAACTAACCTTCAAATTAGCAGCCATAACTGATGTCACAGTGTAATCTGCTGGTGGTTAAATGATTCACTACACAACTTGCTCATAATTAAATGACAATAATCATGTGAACTGCAATTGCAAATTTGCATTGTTAGGAAGCAAACATACTCTGAATGAAATAAGATATTCTTGCAAATAATGACAATAATAATACTAATAAAATCACATATTCTATGGCCAATTAAGTGTTACTAAACCCACAACAGTAAAATCTGTTTGTGTATTGAGTAAAGCATGCTTGTTACTCACTTTGGAACCTAAGGGGTTAATCCTCTGCATTGTGTAATAAGGCTATTTGTTCCTGTCTTCTCGGATCCACCCTTCTCCCACAGTCCCCAATACATTTGCTGATAGTACAGAGCCCTAGGAGGTAATCTGCACATGCTCAATTTGGTGTGTATTGCTAGACTTTTTCTTTTTGGGGAGGGTGCATGTGATCAGCACAGGGGTCATGCAGCTTCACAGGACAGTCAGAGGAGAATGAAAACTCCTCCTACAAGCTTTACCAGTTCTAGGCTGGACACTGATAGAAGTCACAAGACTGTTATATGCTGCTGATGAGAAAGGTATTTAGTAGTTTAATTACTTATTAAAATAACTGCATTTCTATGTTCTGTGGACTGAGGGAGACCAGATATAGGGAATGCAGGATCCTGGGTTTAGTAACACCTTAAGTTCAGATAAGGCAGAAAATTAATTAGCCACATAACCTGTTTGAAAGTAAAATGATGGGCTGGAAACATGATTCAGACTGGCCTTGATAACAAAGATTTACAGACCTATAAAGACAATATGCTGTCAGGTGTTGGTACACCCAGTGTTTTCGGAACTCAGTGTAAATTGGCCCTAGTTCTAAATAAAGTCGAGTTATCCACTTGTGTATCTCTGCACCTAACTTTGCAAAAATACATATACTGTATAAACGTTTATAGCTGCTGATTTTGTATCATGCATTGATGTATAATATCATCACTAATACCCTGCACTTAACTTATTAACTGCCCTGTGTTCACAAATTGTTATCATGTGTAGCACCCTCTAGTGTGCTATTAATATTAGTGTAGGTAAATGTATTATGTTATGACTCATAGTAACTGTGTGAGTCTGTAATAAGGTCAAGTTACTGCAGGTCAGGCTGTATGACTTAACAGGTTGGGACTCTATCACCTCCACTAGGTTTTGGAGGACCATGGAAGCTTCCAGAAGCCAGTGGGCAGAAGGGGTGGAGACCTAAATATGCATGTTTATGGGAGTCTAACCAATTCTAGGTTTGGAGACTCTGGTAGAGTGGTGAGGCCAACCCATACATATATGAGAGTCAGGCTAGCAGGGGAGTTAGGTGGAAGATGGCGTAATGAGGAGGCTATTGGTGGATCTAGCAGGGCTTGCCCTCCAGGCTGGGCTCAGGCTGGCTCATTCAGCATCATGGTATGAACAGGATCAATGCTTGTGGGAGCAAGGAGGACAGGGTGAGTACATCAGCACACCCAGGAATAAAAGAGAGTGCCAAAGAACAGCATTGTACCTAATCCTTTATCCTTGTCCTGAGAGATCAGAGCAGCCAGGGGGCTGGTAGTGTCGCAGGCTGTAGAGTTGGGTGCAGTTCTACAGGGGAGAGGAGATATTGCTGCATGTAATTTGCAACAACCTAAGCTAACGTTTAGAGGGGCTGAGAGTACCTAGCAAATAAGGGGCTGTTGCTACTGATCCGCAATGACTGCCCGCATTCAAGAAGAACAGTCTAGGATCTGTTTCTGTAACTAGGAAGGAAGTTGTCCCTGCGTTTTGATTCAGTCAAGCTGAACATCCCATATTCCCTATTACCCCATCCAAGTTATTTATCCTAATAAAATAACAAAAACCTAGCTCATGGACTGTTCACTGACTGTGAATGCAAGATGGAAAGTGCATGTTACCTGGCTGTGCAAAGCTTAGGGGGATCCAGAAACAAAGTGGCCCTTAAGAGGGTAGTGCTACACATGTAAATTTTAAAAAATAAATACCCCACAATAAAAATACAAAAGCTGAAACAAACAAATTACAGACTGAAAAAAGTACAACAAGCACTAGAAATGTCCAAAAAAAAACCTCAAAACCAACTTGTTTCTTTATTGCCAAAAATACTGTCACAAAAATTAGATTACCCTGGGGTGTCTACTTTCCAAGAAGGGTAATTTTGAGGGTGTTTGTGCTTTCCTGGCATTTTTATTTTAACAGAAAGTAAGGGAAAGTTTTTTTTATAAACAGTGTTTATTAAACAGTGGTTATAAAATACCACTAAAAGAAAGCTCTATTTGTCTTAAAAAATAATATAACATTCACTTTAGTACAGTGTTGCATGAAGAAGTAATTGTCAGTCAAAATATACCAGCACTGAAAATTAATTAAAAAATGATATAGACAGGAAGGGAACATAACATGTCGGCCCTGAAGTGGGCACCATGTGAATGTGAGTTGTTCTCCTGTTTTTAAAGAAATGTGTTTTAAGGATTTTATGCTATGTGGTTCTTTCCCATATGATTTCTTGTACTACTAATCAGTTGGGGGAGTGTTTGGCGCAGCAAGTTTTATTTAGAAAGTAATTTAGTAACCTTAGATTGTACGCCCCTTGAGGGTTAGGGACTGATGTGAATGTACAATATATATATGTAAAGCGCTGCGTAAAATGATGGTGCTATATAAGTACCTGTAATAAATAAATAAGTTTGTAAATCCCTGTGGAGCTTACTTATAGGGGAAACATCCAACATTATCCAACAAAGCCAATGTTCTTAGAACGAAGAGGGCAATATTAGCCGGCGAGAGAGGATAAAAGAGGAATAACAGTAAGGTGGAGCACGGGGGTTGCTTTTTTGGACATTACTAGTACTTGAAGAACTTTTTTTCTTTTTGTATTTTTTGTGTTTCAGCCTTTATATTTTTATTGACAGTGTATTGTACATGGAAGCAATTTTTAGACACAGGAGTAATAAGTTAAGTGCTGGGTATTTAATGATTATAAAGGATTAAATACAAGGTACCAAAAGGAGTCTGTAAATACCTTTGGTTTTGCAAAATGAAGTAGTACACACCCCAGGAATCTCAACAGTATAATGCACCCCATATACACAGTCCACAAAACAAACTGCACTGCACTGCAGCAGGTGAAAGACATACAAAAAGGGTTAACTTAGGAAAAGGCCATCATTTGTATACAATATAAAACTCATGATCAGAGGCTTCCAGGATACAATAAGCACAGCATTTAGCAAAACCCTAATTACATTATAATGTTTTTAGTATTTAATTAAAAGTTCCTAGCCCAGTCCATGGGCTATAGAAATAGTTAGGGGAATTCTTGGATGAGTTTCTATTGTTTTTTTAATTTAGAAAATGCAAAATAAACAGCAGGGATCCATGAAAGTGCTCAAGAGCGTCCAAAATACAAAGGCAGATTGAAATAAAACCATGGAATGTTGCAAAAGTTCTTGCCAATGCAACTAGAAAAACACCAAGTGCATTGCTCTGCACCTTAGCCCCCTGCAGTAAAATGAGTACCTCAGTCCCCTGTAGCACCATATTCCTCCACAGTCCCTCCCCCCCCCCCGCCACCTACAGATTCCCCTGGTACCCCTAATGATCCCCATCTCTATCCAGCCTAACATAGCTCTAGAAATCCTCAGCCCCATTCATAGTTCCCAGTCCCATGAGTGTGTGTGTTTGGTGGGGTGGGGATTTACATATGGTAGCTGGCTTAGCCCAGAAAGAAGTATAAATCTGACCCTGATTACAATTCAGACACTCGACTGTGAGTTTTTGCTTCCATAAACTTCCTGTTTCTGTATACTTATTTCTCTCCTAGGCCACTTCACAGTTCCTATGTTCATGAGGGTGGGAGTGTTTTTTAGTGGGGTTGAGGTAGCACAAAGTAGCTAGCCTTGGGAAAGATGAAGTAAAAATCCAGCCCTGGTTACAATTCAGAAACACAACTGGGAGTTTCTGCTATCAGAAATGTCCTCTTTCTTCGAACTTCTTCCTCTCCTAGGCCAGCTAACGTGTGCGAGGGTTGTCACCCATTAACAGGAAGTGCTTGAACAAGAACCTTCATGGCAGGGTAACCAAGTATTATATTAACAACTGCTGTAGATTTAAAAATATTAAATAATTTCTGAAATGTTAGTGACTGGGATTACATCTACTGTTTACCTGACTGATTACACCTTTATTGTCATTTCACATGCTTCTCATGGTGTGCTACCAGCTGGAACCAGCAGTTTACATATGAGAGATGGCTCCAGAAGGTGCTTAGCTGCTCTGTAATTAGACCAGATCAAAGCATTAAAGCTACTTGACACTGAATAGCTAGACTTGCCTTCTCTGGCCGGAAGGTATTCCATTTTGTCAGGGTCTAGTAATTTCACAATATTAAGCCAAAGATCCATTAAAAGTTGAAATATTTGTATGAAACAAACTGTTGATCCTGGAGAGTAAAAGACTAGTTTTGTTTTGTGTGTAAGGTTAATTAAAAAAATTACTTGAAAAAATTTGTTTAGATGGAAACACATGGCTAGAGAAATCATTATGACCTTTATTTTTTTTGATAAATGGGAAAACGTGAACTTTAATTCATGTGACCTTTTTGAAGTACATTGTCTCACGTTTAGTTTTATAACACTTCAAAAGAGACATATCCTGAACCTGTTTCTAGGATTTTTATAACAACCAAGTGCTGTATATGTTTCATATATACAGAATGTGAAAAGGCATGCATATCTAAAAGGTGCCTCTGCAAGAGGGGTCCTACAGACTTTAAACTGGGTTGGCTGGCAATGGTTTATTACTTGCACCCAGGGGCGGACTGACCATTTGGGAACTCGGGCACTGCCCGAGGGCCCTGGGGCAGTAGGGGGCCCCATGAGATGCCCCTGGTACCTTTTCATAAGCTTTTTTTGGGTGTGGTTTGATTGTGGGCAAGGACACAGGAGCCCCATGATCCCCTATTGCCCGGGGCCCATGAGTTGTCAGTCTGCCCCTGCTTGCACCTAAATTTTACAATGTCATACTATGATTCTCTTTCAAGTTATGTTGTTAAAATGTACACCCCCCCAACTGCCTCAGATCTTGTTTGACTGTCCATGAATTTCAAAGTACCATGTCCAGGATTTTAGGCTGGAGCACTCGTTGCCATACCAAGCTCTGGATTTCCTGTAAAGTGACGTTTTTCAGCAAAGTCATCTCCTGCACAAGAGTGTCTGTATACTTCCATCAGAGGTGAAGCAGAGTGATTGAGCAGTGTGGACCAGTGGACCACTGGACCGGGTATGTGTCCACTGACATGCTTTTTTTATTGTTTCCTCTGCCACCGAGCACCAAGATGTTTTTTTTTATATACCTCTGAGTATGTTTTTTTTTCGCATGCAACTGAGGACCAGTTTCTTTTTCCATCCATTGGCTCCAACACTAGAGCATTCTCATGCCTGTTGACCATTCATGTTGGGGCATTCGTGCTCCTATGGGCACTGTTGCTGGGTCATTTTATTTTCCATTGCCATCTGACACTAGACATTTTTCCAATTTCTAATGCAGGGGCATTTCTTTCTCCTACCGATTAATTATAATTGGTCGCTGCATGTCACTGTAGTCTTCCAATTGTTGCTTGCTCAATTTACTAAGCCTAAGAGTATACAAGTATTAAAAAACTATATTAACATTTAGGAGAAAGATAGATATTACAGCCATTATGCCACCCAAAATGTCTATGCTGTCCTGTAACCAAAATAAAGGCTAAGAACCTGCTTGGTCTTCAGACTATTGAAAATGTCTACATACTTCATAATGCAGACAGTGCAACCTCCATATAAACAGATAAAGAACAGTCATAAGTGTTTGTCTGTGCAACATGAAAAAAACATATTTAGTAAATCCCTGCAATATATGCTAATTTCCCTTTGTTTTGTGTTTTTAAGAATGCTGGAAGTACAGAAAAAATATCTTCGGATCCTGCAAGAATTTGGAGATGCTTCTAACTTCTGCTGCACTTAAATTTTAAGCAGTGTTTCCAGCATGGAGAACTATGAGCTCTTGCACACAGCCATATTAAACGGCAGTGGTTATGGTACCCTAGAGACACAATCCAAAGACAAACAAACAAAACCAGTGCTCAAATCTTCATGCAGACTAAAAGAAATTCAAAATGCCAAATGAGGAGGTGCAGCCCTTCAAAGATCGGGAAATCTGGATACTGATAGACAAAAGCATACAAGGGCATACTCTCATCGTGCATTACCGTGGTACACCACGTATTTATTGTGTAGACAAATAGATGTATACTCACAAACCAAAGGAAAATAAAAAGCAGAATATGTAGTCCGCAATGGCAGTCAGTACAATGCTGTGCCCTCAATAGGGAGGAAGGGGGTTCGTCTCCCGAAACACGTCAGCTTATCCCTATTAAGGGCACAGCATTGTATTGACTGCCACTGTGGACTACATATTCTGCTTTTTATTTTCCGTGGTGTACCACGGTAATGCACAAAGAGAGTTTGCTTTTGTCTGCCCTAGAGACACAACTGTAGTGTACTACTTCATTATAGAAAACACATGTGCACCCATACGCGTGTAACTGCCGGCACTGAAAATTACTCGTAAGTCTCTATATTTTGAATGTAAAATTTACATGCATATAAATGAACACTGATTTTTCTGTAATGCATTCCTATGGCAAATAACATACTGCAGCTGTTGCTTCCGCAGGTACGCTGTAAATTACGACCATGTGCAAAATGCCTAAAAATTTTACTATATGGCAGTTTTACCCTTCCCCAGCAGCAGATCAGTAATGGTTGTCTCTTTATTAACTGAGGAAGGAAACTAGACAGCCTTAGTAAGACAGAAACAGGACAGTTTCTGTGGATGGTTTACAATTTGATATGTGAGGGGGATATTTACTAAAATTGGTACATACAGAATCTGATGCAGCTGTGCATGGTAGCCAATCAGCTTCTAACTTCAGCTTGTTCAATTAAGGTTTGACAATAAAACCTGGAAGCTAATTGGTTTCTATCCAGAGCTGCATCAGATTTTTCACTCTCCAGCTTTAGTAAATAACCCCATAAGTGTTAGTCCCATGCTGAGATGCAGAGACTATAGGTAAATAATATGACCCATGGCCATTTCTAAAGCTGGACATAAATGGTTCAAATCTCGGCCGGTTCAGCAGAGATCGGATGAGATTCAAACAATCTATGGGCAGGCTGATTGTACTCAAGTCGATCCATCAATTGACTTGGGTACAACCAGCATGCCAGATTTTTACATGTGATTATTGTCAGCCTCTCCCTTTCCCCTGCCGGGAGGACACAGTGGCTTCACGAGAGGGATTCTCACATCAACACTGGCTGTGTTGATGAAATGATTTTCTTTCCTGCAGCCCCTGGTTGAAAGAAAGAAAATCAAATCATCTATTGTCAGCCTAAAGAATTAGGCTGTAATGTTATGACAATTAATTTTCACAAATATCCATTCATGTGGTTGTTTCCACTATACTCCTAGATGAAGGAGCATAGTGGAAATATCCTCAAGGGAGTATAAACTACTCCATTTTGAACAAAATTGAATGGCTTTAGCTCAAAGGCTAGAGCGACACTTGTGATTTACATAACACTGTTACACACAGCATACTTATTGGACTATGCACGAGCATCACTGGTCTCCATCATGGTTTTCCCCTTTTGTAAGCTACCTTACCTTCTACTTTAGCCCATAGTTTCCAAAACATATTAGGATAATGGCATTATATTATTAAATTTTTCATTGGTGATCTATTTTGATCAACAAAATGAAAAACAGCAGGTATTCCTTACTACATTTATAAAATTAGAGCATGATAAAAGTACAGCTTGTTGATCCAGAGATAAAAAATTAAATAGTTTTGTTAAAAAGAGAACAATCATAATATTATACTTACTTGTTTTAAATCCAGGGTTATGGTGACCCAATGATACAGCCTGCCATTTTGTATACTGGGACTCTGCCACCAGTCATTTGTGCCATCAATAGCATTGGAGATTGGGTGACGTTCTGAAAAGTAAGACATACACATCATATTAGAAACATAGAACTTAACCGGTTAAAACAAAACAAAGAAATTTTAGTGAGAAATAACGAATTACAAGTTATTACCCACTATGATTAATTAAAAAAATATAAGAGTATGTGTGTAAAGTGTGCACATGGTTAGAAACAAGCGAACTGAATAACAATTGAAAAAAGAGGTTACCCTTTGAATTAACACTGTTCTGGTCACAGATTCGACATTGTGGGTTTCGGACTATTCTCCCTGGCACATGTTCCACAAGTTTACAGAACATTTCCGGTCCCATTTCACCACAGGTGGCATTGGTGGTAATATCTGCTTTGCTAGCTAAATTTAGGATTGCAGGGAACAAACCTAAAATGAAAAGTAAATAAAGACCATTACTATAAAATTAATTATACACTTTTGTTAACTTTTTTAATTTGTTAACAATGTTAAACTAAAAGTACCCAGATGTATTAAAAGAAACATGTAGTGTATTTTAATTGAGCACATTTTATGTATGGAATGTTTAATTTTTTTATATCACTTTTGCAATTTGATGGCCTTATCAAACACCAACTATTTACAAGTGGCAGGCAGCCACACCAGTTCTCTATATCTGGAATTCTTGCAGAAGCATGAAAGCTGTAGAAGGGTCTCCTGGACAGCCATCTCGCCCTGTGCTTCTGCCTAGGTAGCCTTGTAGATGATTCAACTCTGATTATCATTAGTAGCAGGGGCGGACTGACAACTCATGGGGCCCCCGGGCAATAGGGAATCATGGGGCCCCCTGTCCTTGCCCACACTCAAAGCACACCCAAACAAAGCCTATAAAAAAGGTACCAGGGGTATTTCATGGGGCCCCATACTGACCCCGGGCCCTCGGGCAGTGCCCGAGTGCTCGAATGGTCATTGTGCCCCTGACTAGTAGTGCTCAAATTGGTTGCATCAACAGTGAAAGCCTTATAGTCTCTGCTGTTAGAGGATAATCCAATACACATGTGTGTTCTGATTGCCAGATACTGTTGCAGACATGCACCTTCCTATCACACAAATGTGTTTATATTAAACCAGATGAATGAGCTAGAACAGAGTGCACTCGTGTAAATCGTCAATGAATCCTGAAGAACATTGTGCTGGTCAAATTGGAACACACCTCAGGAAATAAAAGTCATTGTTTGTAATTTTTGAGACTTGCATGACCCCCTCCAATATGACCTACAGTCATGGAGTAGATGAGGGTGGTGGTGGTGATGGGTAATATTGTGCTCAAACCCACCATGAATAGGCACGTTGCATAACCAGGTAGCCAGTGCTGAAAATGTAGTTGTGTATAGACTGATTGCTAGTTCTGGTGCCCACACACACACAAGTTTCTGACACAGTGGTGACAGAACCACAGATTTTTCCTATTCCAGAAATAGATAAAATACATTTGTCAAGCCCTGATCTATGGGTACAATTGTTTTTACATCTCAGAGTTATACTGATTTTGATGGCAAGAGTTGTCAACAGAAAACAAAAATTAATGAATCGTCCTGAAAAAAAATCTCTTAACACGCTATGGTTAAAAATATTCATGTTTGATATGACAATAAGCAGTAGAGATAAGTTATCAGGACATAGCAGGAGACACAGACATAACAAGCAGACATAGCTGTTGAGAATAACGAGAGGAATTTGCAAGACAGGCAATTTTAGAGCTTTCGAAACATGAATACAGATAACAGAATCCCAAAGCTTTTTTGGCAATTGAAGTGTGTGATTGCTTCCGTAACTAGAGCACAAACCAGACAGACAGACGGGCCAAGCAGGGAAAACCAAAAGAAACAATTGAGAAGTCCAGCATAAAGCATGTTAGCCTAGACACTGGACCCTATTCAAGTGAAAGAATAATTTCAGGTTAGCACAGAAAACTAATATTTATTGTAAATAACAAACTAGGTAAAGGCAAAAATTAGATGTTCCCTGGAAATGCATCATAGTACCACTCAGAAATTGTCCTTTATTGCATAAATCTGTAAAAAGGTAACTAAATACATTAAAAGGAAACAACTGCGTATTACATTTCTCATAATGCCTATAATTTTATGTTGTCAGCCATCCTGAATGATATGCCATCTGATAAGCAAACTGTCTTGTAATGTAAAGCTGGACATTCATGGATCGAATTTTGACTGATTCTTGCAGAATCAGTAACAATTTGACCTGTGGGTTGCCCTGTTAGAACTACCCATCTTCACAACAGTCACTTTTTTTATTGACTTTTGTCTAAGGAGCCATCCAGAAAATTCTTCTTTTGAGAATGCCCGCATCCAATCAAATTCAATCAAAAAAAGACTGAAAATACTGTTCAGTAGCTATACTCAGAAGTTGCTGTCAGCTCTTCTACAACACAGAATGGGACCTGGCTGTCAAAATGACAGACTGTCTTTGCCATTACATAAAACAGTGACTACTACAGGGAAGGGGGCCCTAAGTGGACAAGGTAAACCCAGCATACGTAGATGATGTTTTATGGGTTCATTTCATATGTACATGGTTAAAAGCCACCTCAGGCACCCAATTCCTTATTTGCAGCAGATCTTCCCTTTCATAGAGAATATGGACATTCAATGAAAGAAAATAATAATTTGCACAAAACCACATACACATGCAGCCCAGGTACCAGATATACCCAGGTACTAAAATACACATCAAGACTGCCAACTATGCCCGTCTCTACAGTTCCCCTCCTTCATTCATAGAAGCTGCACTAAAGTTTTCATAAATGAAAAGTGTTCTATAAATAGAGGAGGAGGAACTTTTATTTACCCACTTGTCCTCCATTCATAAAGTGCTTTTCGTTCACGAATGCTGTAGCACAGCTTCTATGAATGGTGTAGGGCGGGGGCACAAAGGGCAATTTTATAGTAGTTGGTACTCTTGAAGAGTGCCTGTCACAGGTTCAGCGCTAGTATTAACCCCCACAACAACTGAAAATTACAACTGCAGGTTATGGGGGTGGGGGGCAGAGGACTGAGATTTCCACTATGCCAGCCAGCACAATGGATAGTTCATATCAAATATAAGTAACATCTCTTCTGCTTTTTTTTTTAATTTTTACTAGACTCAGGATGTACAGAAACTTAAATTATACTGAATTGCTGGAGTCACTTAAGCATACTATACTATTGTGGTATACATTTCCTCTGTCTATTAGTTTAGATATTTTTCTATCCTGTAGGACACAGGAAATTCTAGGTCATTGCTAGTAAGCACCAATAAATTAAACTGACATTTTAATCCCTAGTGAAAAAAATTTACTTTCCTTTAAGCCTACCAATTTATCTCTTCTTAATATCCCAATTGCTTAACAGTTAGAGGAAGGCTAGTAGCTGAACAAATTTCCATCTTTCAACAAACCAGTGCAGTCATTGGGTAACTATAGCACATTAGTGATCAGGTGATCAGGTGACTACAGCACATTTGGTGATTACAGATGATCAGTTTGTCACAGCACATTTGGATATAAATGTTATCCTATGTGAGCCTTGTCAAAAATATGAACACATTAGGGTAGAAGGATATAAATGCACATTGTAAGACACTGCAAAATGAGATGATGCATTAGCACATGCCAGGAGTACCCATATATATTAGAGAATGAAAACAGCAACTATTCTTCCCAAAATCACATCTCTTATTGCTTATGTGCAAACCACTATAGAAAAAACAATACTCATACCATATCCAGTAATTTATATACTACTCATATCTTTGTAGCACTGGATGAAACTCATGTTCACGTATAGCAAAAGTGGACAAATGTACAATTCCACAATCAACTGGTCCAAGCCAGCAGACAGTAGACACTGTTAGTCCAAATGTGCAGGGCATATACTGTACTTTTACTAAACAAGGGTAGGCTGGCTTGACAGGAATGGACTCCAGGAATGATAAGTAATGCCCACTAGTCATCTCCAATATGACTGAATTTTTCATGTGACCAGGGGCGGACTGACCATTTGGAAACTCGGGCACTGCCCAAGGGCCCGGGGTCAGTAGGGGGCCCCATGAGATGCCCCTGGTACCTTTTTCATAGGCTTTTTTGAGTTTGGGCAAGAACACAGAGGCCCCATGATCCCTTATTGCCCGTGGGCCCCATGAGTTGTCAGTCTGCCCCTGCATGTGACACAAGCATGGTGAAATGTTCATTCCCTTTTCTATATAGAAAAGGGAATGGTAGCTGATCAGCAGTTGGGAGATATCTTCTGAAACATCTGACCATTTTTTAAACCATGTCATAGTGAAGAAATTAAAAGAGCTCTTTTGTTGACATCTAGGTCTTTATGTTTTTTGGCTGACAAAAAAAAGTACAGCTAGTGACTTTTATTATATGGCTATGTCAGCAATGGGCCGTATACGGCCCAGCGGACCTTTTAATCCGGCCCGCGGAGCGTGGTACTGTTAGAATGGCTGTCAGGATGTGTGAAGGCGGGGCAGCGTGACGAACGTGAGGGGAGCTAGGCTTCTCTCACAGTCCGCCCTGAAGACCGGAACGGCGCGGGAACACAGCGAGAGGAACGCGCAGAGCAAAGGTAAGTGAATTGGCACAGGGGGGACTTAATATGGGGGATGAATTAATATGGGGAATGAATTACTATAGGGGGGATGAATTACTATATAGGGGGATGAATTACTATGGGGGATTAATTACTATGCTTACTATGGGGTAATATTACTATACTTACTATGGATGACACATACACATCATTCATCTACTCTTGGTCCGGCCCCTGGGTCCAATATATGAACCCATTGCGGCCCTCAAGTCAAAAAGTTTGCCCACCCCTGGGCTATGTCAACAAAATGAAACATTTTGCTTAGGGTGGCCATGCTGCATGTAATCTACTCTTTGCAAAATAACATGGATGAAGATTAAAAGATGTCAATGAGCAATCCTTGACACTCTGGTAAAAAACAACACTATAACATATCTTGCCCAAGTCATGGAAACGATCAGGGCAGGTCTCAGAGACATGTATATGTTTAAGGTCTCACAGCCCATCGTTTCGGTGAGACATCCGTATGTCAATGGCCTTCCTATGGATACCTTTACATCCAGTCTCATTATTTTTTCTCCTGTGTAAATAGCTTCACATCTGTTTGAGCTCTTTAGATCTCTATTACCTGGATCCTCCTTCTTCATCTTCTACATTGTGGGACACTACTAACAAAATAAACAGTCATTATCTCTCTTCTATGCCTGCTGAGAACTCAGGGGGAAACAACTGCATCAACGTGCAAAAAAAGGTGCTGCTGTTTTTTTTGTTTTAGAGAGCTATGTGAAAACAGTTTGTAGTGTGGGAACACCTGGCCAAGAACAAGAGTCTCCATCCAGTGAACAGGAAATGAGTGGGATTCAGAAACACTATCGCTGGGCAGCTGGGAGCATCTCCTTCAGGCATCCATGGCTGACTTACCAAGAAAAATGGCAAAGGATGTTTACTTTTCCACTCCTCTTATTTATGTCTTTCTGCAAGCTGTTTTAGTTATCTTAGAAAGTTATGTCAAGTAAGCCAACTTGTTTTACATTGTTTGTATTTTACTTAATGCATGCAATCAAAATGTATTTTTGTGGACGGAGTCCAGATAGACCTGAATAAGTGTTACATGTAATATGATCTTGCACATTTATTTCCAAAGCAAAGCTTTTATTCTAACTGAATTATGGAAATAGGATTTAGTTTGATTAAAGGATTTTCCTGGATCGACACAAATGTAAACTACATTTAAATGAACTTAGGGTCAAAAATGAGGTTTCCCTGCTCAGCAGTGAATCATGTGGCTACAATTTATACATAAGGCATAATGACATGGTCAAGAGTTTTAACATCTTATAAGCATCAGAATGGGAAGGATTCAATGTGACTTTGACCTTGAAAAGATGGCTGCTGAATCTTAGATCCCTGGGTGACCAGAGATTTTCATGCAACTCAATACCAATAATTTTTTTCTTATAGAAAAGGGAATTTATAAAAAACAAGCAATATTCTTCTAGCAAGAACACAACACCCACAACTGTTCAGATAGCCACTTTTCCAAACAGTAATGGACAACATGGCAAACCTTGCAGAAGAAAGACTAGAGCAACAGAAGACTATGGCAGGTAATGTCAGCTAAGAACATGAAAATTAGGCTACAGTGAGCATGGGATCACCACAGTTGACAATTTAAATTTACTTTGTCTTGTCCTCTAGAACATGCAGATGATACATAGTCTGGCTGAAAAAAAGACAAAAGTCCATCCAGTTTAACCATAGAAAAAAAAAGTTATAATCCTATACTCACAGTTGATCCAGAGGAAGGAAAAAAAAAAACCCCAGCAAAGCACGATCCAATTTGCTCCTGCTGGGAAAAAAATTCCTTCCTGATCCCCCAAGAGGCAATCGGATATTCCCTGGATCCTCATGAAAAATCTTGATATTTGCCAGGACATATAGATGGAAGTGTCTTCAGTATAGAAAATACTACTCATAGCATGTATGTGGCTAACAAATCTCTGTTTGATGCTCTTGTGTCAGCAGAGAACAAAATACATAAGAAATGCTAAAAGCACTTTGCTGAATTCATATTGAAAAACTTTTGGCTGTTATAAAAGCAAAAAATCCTAGCAGCACAGTGGCTAAATGGTTAGCACTTCTCCCTGGCAGTACTAGAGTCATTGGTTCAAATCCTAGCAACAGCACCACCTGCCTGGAGGTTGCATGTGCTCCCTGTTCCTGTGTAGGTTTCATCCCACACTCCAAAGACATGCTGGTAGGTTAATTGGATCCTGTCTAAATTGGCCCTGGTATGTATGAATGTGAGTTAGGCACCTTAGATTGTATGCCCCTTGAGGGTTGGGGATGAATGTGCAATATATATGAAAAGCACTGCATAAATTAATGGCACTATATAAGTACCTGAAATAAATAGGTATATCCAATTGGACACTGAAAATCCAGGTAAGTGAGTTTTGTCCATGTCTTTTTTGTGAACAGATCTGTTGAAAGTGCAGGTCATATGTTTTCACGTAAGACACACATCTGTACATATATAGACACAAATTCCTGTGTCATTCAGCTTTTACATTTAAACTCAATTTAAAATCAAAGATGCAAAACAATCAACAAATTTGTGTTTAGCCTCTTTTTATTAGACTTTTCAAAAAAGACAGTGGCAATTAAGGATAAGCACACTTCCAGCTTAAAAAGGATAACTGCAGAAAATGTTTTAATAGCTATAATTGTCATCAACAATCAGTTAAATCAACAGCTACCCCTAGGCTACAATATATTTGTCTTAATTACAAGGTGTGTGAACCTAAACAAAGCATGTTCTTTATTAGTCAATTAGGATTTTAAAATTATACAGAGTGATTGAAAAAAAACTAACAAAGATTAAATCACAGAAGCTTCTACTTGTAGCAAATAATCTGTTGACTGTAGTTATATTACTGTCTGTATATATATATATATATATATATATATATATATATAGAGAGAGAGAGAGAGAGAGAGAGACTTATACAATGTATAAGATTACAAGCCTGGGTGCACATGGTAGGAATACAAGTATGCAATGGGGTAATGGGCATTCACAGGACTTTAACTACAAGCATCGCAAATGCATATTTTACTTTTCAGTGGGGCATGGCCCGCTATTTTTAGGGTGGGCTGTGCCCTAATAAAACATCAGCTCACCACTAAAATGTAATGTAAAATTTGCACGACTCTTACTTCAAGTGAGTGCCCATTGACCCTTTGCTGAATACTTTGAATTTGCAACACATGTACCAGGCTTGAAATCTTATACAGTGTGCAAGTACAAACCACATCTTTCTCTCTTAATAATATATACACTTTATATCTAGGGAAAGATTTACTAAAACTGGAACACTCAGAATTTTGTGCAGCTGTGCATGGTAGTCAATTATCATCTAACTTCAGGTTGTTAATTTAATCTTTGACAACAAGGCCTGGTAATATATATATATATATATATATATATATAGTATATATATACATACAAAATGCTTTAATTGATATTTATTTTTACCAAACAAAAAAGAAGCAAGTAGGAGAAGTTCATATGCTTTAATTTTAAAATGTCAAAGTATGTTCTTGCTCAAAATACTCGATTATTTCCTTTAAATCCTTTCCATTCAAGAGCCTTAAACTGTCATGAGGAGACTGAAGTGGCTTGAAATTGAATGTATAGACGTATAGACATAAACAGACCATATGTGGGATACCCAAGACAGTCTGAGGAACTAAATATTTCCTACATTATAAATCCTTGTTTATAGTCTTCTTTCAGCACATCTGTATGAAGACTCCAGTTCAAAGCTTCCCAAGACATTTGAGAAAAGGGCAAACAGTAGAACTGTTCAAAGCTGTCTCAGGCCCATTATTATCCTATGGTTCAAAGTGTTGAGATCCTCCAGCATAATCTAAAAGGTCATCTAATGAGGTAATCATCCACCATTATAGTATAAAAACTTAAAACAATCTTTAGAAAATGAGATAACTGCAGAAAAAATGCCAAAGTAATGAACATTAACATTCCTGATTAATTTGGCCAGCAAAGCTAAAATAAAGTTTTTTTATTATAGCTGAAACAAAGTTGAAGTACATATATGAGAGCTATTTAGGCTGGTTTTCTGTAAAAATAAACCCTCCCAGCATTGGTAGTAAATTGGTGGTCAGTGGCTGGTTGTACAATAATTCCCCCTTCTTCCAGTACTGGTGGTTAATAGCTAGCTGGAACAATAAAGCCATATTCCCCCAGTATTGGTGGACAGTGACTGACTGTAAAAAAACCCTCCCAACCTTTCCCCAGCATTGGTGGTCAGTAGCTTGCTGGAACAGTAACTCCACCTCTAGCGCATGTAGTCAGTGGCTGGCTAAAACAATAAACACACAACAAGCAGTGATGGTCAGTGGATAGCTGTAAACATAACCCCCCATCTGTGGCGTGCTGGAAGATGTACATCATATTCCCTGATTATCTAGGGGGGCACTCTAAAAAGAAAAAAATATACTACTTCCCTGTCCTGCAATCCCATGCAGTTTTCTATTCATATAGCGCTAGTCCACCAATAAGGTAACAATGGCTCAGAACACTCTGTGGAGCCAGTTCACTTCTTCTGATAGCAGCATATTTTTTATGGGTATCAAAGCAAGCATGCAGCAGCTGTGAGGTGTACAATAGGACACCTCATAGGACAAAGCTGCCTGTGCCTGCCTCTCTATTTCA